GCGGAACGGGCGGGCCTGGGGAGCGCTTTCCTGAAGGAGAGATGTCCTGCTTTAGCTTTTCGCCCTCTTGAGAAACTCGATTAGTTTAGGCCAATTGCCTTGAAATTGACATGTAGTTGACAGCAGGTCAGTGAGGATCGTCTCCCAGTGTGGTCAGATTGATAAGAGTTCTGTGTAGATTAATCACCCAGCAATGCTCTCCACCTTTGTAAACCTTTGGGACAGGCAAAGAATACTCCAATTTTGGAAACCTTTGGAGCAGTCAAAGAGTATTCCAACTTACAGGCTTCCATCTTATTATAAAGGAGGATTTGAACAGAAAATGAGTAGGCAGAAGCTGAGTCTTATTTTAGGTGTAACTTGATCTGCTGGCAGGGTAACAATGAGAACAGCCCATAGAAGAATCATGGGTTTGAATTATCCTGATAAAGATGGATTACCTTCCTTAGCAATATAAATCAGTGAACCAAAAGAATTCACAGACTCGCTTACAGAACCATGGAATGGCTTGGGTTGGAGAGCACCTTAGAGATCAGCCACTTCCAACCCTCCTGCCATGGGCAGGGACAACTTCCACTGGGACAGGTTGCTCAGAGCCCCATCCATCTGGGTCTTGTTGGAATGCAGTGCCAAAAACAAATCCAAAGCCTTGGGTCATAGGAGATGTTGTGCAACAGCTTTCACAGTTTCTTAACTCTGCATTGATTTTTCCTGTTTATCATCATAATTAAAAACTTAAGGTTATTTAAAAGCAAACTGGAATGTTTTAGTTATATGAATTTATGTCCAGTTGGACAAGGAGGAGGGAGGAGGACTAGGATGATCCTTGTGGGTCCCTTCCAACTTGAGCTGTGCCATTGCTCTGTTGTACTGTTAACAGTCCCTGTTCCAATTCAGGTCCAATCCAGATGTGTTTGAATCCCGCATGGAAAAAAGAAGTGAAGTGAAAAAGCAGCCCGTGGGACATTCCAAACAAGGGGAGTTTATCAGATGCATGGAGGAAAAGGCAAGGACAATTTTCTTTGTAAATCACATACACTGAAGCTCTAATGCTATTTTTATGGGATCAGAGTAATGCTACAAACTGGAAGTATCCCTATCAGAAGGAGCTCTGAAATTTCACTGTGTGATGGCTAAAAGCATTGTTCTGTACTCCTCTGTATTATTTTTTGGACTGTAAATTCCCTGCTTGAAACCTTGTTTAATTAGTTCCAGATTAGTTTGGCCAGAAGAATGACACAATCCTGCATTTATCATTTCTTAGTGAAAGCAAGAAAACAGTTCAATAATATTGGATCCAAAATGCACAATAGTTTCCTTTTGATGAATCCCTTGTGGCCTTGAAATTCATAATTCACATTAGGTTACTAATCTTATTTACTCGACCTAATCAATCACTTGTTTTATTAAAAATACACTGCAGTGATCTTCAAGTATCTTGAGCTCCCACTGAGGAGTTTTTGTCAGCAGGCAGGTTGTGTGTGGCAGGGAAGGCAAATCAATGGTATTAGCTGTAAAACTAAAGAGGAATGTTTTCTTGCAGGCAGAAGGCTTGGCCAGCAAGACATCAAAGGGAGGATTCACAAAGGATAAGGTAAGAGAAATGACCCAAGTGTTAGGAGGGTGGCAAGGAAAGGGTGTGGATTAACTTGTATTGCCATAGCCAGTTTCAGTCAAGAGCACTTTGATATAAACCTGGTGTTCCTTATGCTGCATTTGGGTGTAAGATCTTGGTTTACTGTTGGGATCCCATTCAACCTTAAAACTCCTGGCACTCTGGGTTTTTATGGCTCTGTCCTTTTTCTGTGCTCCTTTTTCTGGAAATTCTTTACAATTGGGGAATCTGTTCTGAACATGAAATGGAAAGGGTTAAGCTCCTTTTACAGCATGGAAATACATTTGCAGTGATCAGCTAGCCCAGGGACAAGAGAATTCTATTTCACATTCCTGTATTTCGGTGACTCTTGAGTGTAAATCTGCCGAAGAGCACATCTTTGAGATGGCTGAAGGCAAAAGCTGCTCCTCTTGCAGCTTGCACAACTGGAGCAAAGCATGTGCTGTCTCCTGAAAGAATCTATTCTGCCTCAGTGTGTGAATCCACTTCTCAGTGTGCTGCTGCTGTATTTTATTTGGCAATTAGAGGGACTAAGTAACACTGTAAATTGAATTAAGTTCCCCTAGGTTGATTTTGTTCTCTGTAATTGCATCCATTCATTCTTGATTCTTACAAGGTCAGAGAACTGCCATCATGCCAGATTCTTTATGCTTTCTCTTGCAGACACTTGATTCAATTCTTAATGTTGAGATGGTGAAAGAAAAATCAGCAGAGGAGATAACACAGGTGATGGATTTAAATGGAATAAACTTTGCTTCATGTCTGTGCTTAATAGTAACCTATGTCTAAGGATGGAAATTTTACTTAGACTGAAAAGTAAAACACAGCTGTGAATGTATATTTACAAAAAGCATATTCACATGGGTATCCATAGGAGAAGATAAAGTTTTCTCCATCTAGCTAAGTCCTCCTAAGGGGTACAGGTACACTGGGTATTGCCATCCTGCTGTGGTGAAGAAAAAGACTGTTAACACAGAGGAGCATCATGCCAAGGCTTGTCTTCTGTTGAAAATGTTTTGTATATTCTTTCTTTAGAAAAACACCACCAAAAAAGTCCACCAACCAAAAATCACTAGTGTGATTTCTGGGAAAGATGTGAGAAGCACTAATGGTGGTTAATGAATACTGAGCCACCTCTGAGCCCACTCTTTACTCTGTTACCTGGTTGGCATCTGTCCTTTGGTACATCTGGAACCTTTGCAGAAGTACCTTGCATTAGCAGGAAAGTCAGGCTTGATTGAAAAATTACTTCCCAAAGTGCTTACAAAGGTCAGCTGATGTTTTAAAGCATTTAACATTACTGCTAAATGCTGGACTTTAACTGTATCTCATCTTCTTTGTTTCCTACAGATTTGGAATCAGTATTTTTCTGCAAAAGACACGGTTTATGCTGTTATCCCTGTAAGTAGTTCTGCTGTAGTTCTGCACTTGAAAAGCCAGCATGCAAAGCTTTCCTTTCCAACTGACATTCTGCTGCTTTTAAAAGCAGTCAGTAAAAGAAAGTGAGGTTTCAAGAACAAACTTGCTTGCTGAGTGATTTTATTGCCCCAAACAAAGGCTTTTGTTTTCAGAAATGCATACCCCTTTTTTTCTCACTCAGAGTCTCAATAAATCAAGGACCTTTTTCTGCACACCTGGCTGGAATTTCCAGGCTTATTTTCATACAAGCCTCCAACACTTTTTGCAAGGCCCTAGTGTTTATTAAGTAGCATTTGTGTTTTTAGAGTTCTTTTTCTCAGAGTTGCCTTTTCCTTTGCCCTCTTCCCCAGCACAGGCAGCTGCCTCAAGGTTAATGTGGCAGTCCAAGAACACTTGGCTGGTAACTTACATGTGGCTGATCACTTA